CCCTATTTGTGGTTTTCTTGACAAAGATACTGGAATGGTTTGCCATTTCCTTCTCCAGCCCATTTAGATGAGGAAACTGAGGAAAACAGGGTTAAATGACCTGTCCAGGGTCACACAGCTAGTAAGCGTCTAAGGCCATATTTGAACTCAAGAAGATGAGATGAGTGTTCCTGCCTCCAAGCCCCACACTTTCTCCACTGAGCCAGCTAGCTACCCTCCTTTCTTCCTATTTCATGGTTATTTCCTCTATACCACACTACTCAATGCTTATAAAAGGAGACAGGAGAAAGAAAAAAAGGAGCCAAAAGTAAGTGCAGACTTCATACAATTCTCCAGGGAACATCTGCCAGTTATTCCATTTTGTATTATATACAAGAGATTCAAGAACCAAAATAAATTTCTTTCACAGAAGCAAGAGCAAAAGGTGCCAAACTGGAAATTAGGAGACCTGGGTTAGAATCTTAAGTCTTCTACTTACTATATGTGTGATTTTTTATAAATAATTTAACCTCTCCAATCATTGGCTACTGCAAGGAGGTTACTGCTTGAACATTGAGACAGGGGAAGTTTCAGGGACCGTTAAAGTTGAATTACCTGAAATAAGTAACATTAAATAATTATCAATAATTTACACTTTATAGACTATTGGAGGGGATCATAAGATTTTAGGTTTTCTTGAGCACATAGGATCATAGACTCAAAGTATAAAGAAGTAAAGGAAACTTAGAAATCAACATTAAATCTCCCTCATTTTACAGTCAAGGAAACTTAGGTCCAGGAAAAGCAAGCAAGATCGCATGGGTAGTTAAGTAGCTATGTTTGGGATATAAAATCAGAGAGAGCTGTAACTAGAGCACAGTGATGCATTACCCCTAGGGCACTGAGGATAAGCCATTATCTAGGAGGAGCACCTCTGTTTAACTTTACAGTAGACAATTTTCCAGCTGTTCCTTAAGAGACTCCTGGAAATCAGTTGTCACATTTATAACTTGCTTTGCAGTCTTTTTATTCAACATAGCTTAAGAATTAGAATGTGTTCACTTCTTCACCACAGCATCCGGTCTGCACTAATGCTGTTCACATGCCACTCAATCCCTTAGCCCCTTACCTGTCCCTGTGTGACTACTCTCTTAAACTGACCTTTGCCCTTGCTAATGGTAGCAAACTATATTCACAAATTGAGGTAACTACACTTTGTTTGAGGCTAAGCAGAGTTCCCTCTCCCATCCAGTCTATCCTAAGTCTCCAAAATGGTTGATGGATGGGCCAAGTCCTTCTCTGGATTACCTTGAGCTGAACTCTCTTAATTCAGTTGTGTCAACAATGGGAAGGGCCTTTAACTCTCCTTCCCCCTTCATTGAATGTTCCCTTTGTACCAGAATTACTAGTTTTGACTCTAAACGTAAGTTCTTTGAACATGGAGCTCTGTCAAGTACTAAATGAAAGTGCCTAAGGCCTTGGATACCAACATATATTGGTTTCTGCTACCTGGGTTTACCTCCATCCTGTAATATGTTGATCTTTAGCAGTATCAGTTGAGGCTGGACCATAATAAACCTTTCTGCAATGTAATAGTTTGTATTTTGTTAGATATATGAATTTGGAATTGTCATCTTTTGCTTGGAGGGTGCAATAATTACCCCTGAGGGCTCATTCATATTATATGAACAGGGAAACTAAGTTCTATGGTACCACAAGAAGCATGGTCTTCCTGAATTGGAGCGGGGGAAAAGGGAGGAAACGTTTGATGAGCACAGTTTTTTCAGCAACTGGATGGATAGTCCCTGTGTAAGCTTCTGTTCTTAAATAACCCCAAAATGCATAGTAGTTTTAGCAATAACTTCTAATGTTCCTTTTAAATGCTACAATATATGTATATATACAAAGACAGCTACCTGGGTCAGGTAGGGGAGTTATCTAAGAAAACAGATGTGGCTACACAGAGAATGCACCAACTGATTTAAATCTTTAAAAGACAAGGTCAGAAGATGGGACCAATAACAGATGACTGAGGATGAATAAAATAAGAGTGGACAGTAAGAATCCATAGGTCAGGAAATGTTCAGTTTAGGTGAGATGATTTAGAAGGACATGATAGCTGTCTCAAAGTAACTGAAAGATTGTTGTATGATACAGGGATTAAACTAGTTCTACTTGCTCCCAGAGGATTGAACTAGAAGAAATCAATCAAAAGGTATAGAGAGGCAGATTCAGGCTCAGTGTAAGGGGGGGAAAATCTGATCATTAGAACCATAAAAGCAGAATGAGTTGTCTTCAGAAATAGTGGAATACTTCCACTGAAAATCTTTAAACAGGCTGGATGATCACTTGTAAGGGATGTTGCCAAGAGCACATTCCTATTCCATTTCAGATTGTCTTGAATGATCTCTGAGGCCCCTTGCAGTTCTGAGATTCTATTCTATGTTTTATTTGTCATATTCTTGATTATTTTTTCTTTCCTTCTTCTATCATACTTTGATGAGTCTGTCTTTTCCACCAACAAACACTCCTATACTATACCAAATATACCTCCTTTTTTTCTCTATGGTTTCCACCAGTACAATGTTAAATATTATAGGTTTGGAATCTCAATTCCTTTGGCTCTTTGGAGAAAAGGTGCTATATAAATCTAAGAAATGAATGAATAAATAATAAGTGCATGCCCTGAGTCCATTTTATACCAGATCTACATAACACAAATGTGAAATGCAGAATTGACAGCCATTAAGTGTAGTATATGTAAACTGCCAAACCATATGATTTAGGTAAAAGGATAGTCTCAATTTTTCCCCCAGGTCATTTCATTGTTGTTGGCTGTGTTTTTCTGATTTTCTGTAGAATAGTTCTGACATTTCCTAGCTTCTGCATCATAACTTTTGCCTATCCATGTGCAGCAAACATTAAGACCCTACTAATCATTAAAGTTTCCTGAATACCTGAAAATACCCAGCTGTAGTGAACTCACTCTAAGCGGAGTCTTTCATGAGGGGGCATGGGCTTCTAGCTATGCCTATGCTAGCTTGTGAGCACAATGGGGAGAATTAGACTGAATTCTTTACATTTCGTATAGGGTGATATATCAATGCTTTGAACGGCTGGAAGTATTTCTGAAGCCTTGAGACAAGAGCTATTGTCAATTTTGTATCTTAGCTCTTTCTATTTCCTCACTTAATGTGGCCATATGAGAAATGGAGCATCTCTGTTTAGCTTTACAATGGACAATTTTCCAGCTGTTTCAATATACTCTATTCCTTAAGAGACTCCTGGAAATCAGTTGTCATATTTATAACTTGCTTTGTACTTGAAGTCTTTTTATTTAATATAGCTTTAGAACCAGAATTTGTGAGACCATTTGTCCACTTATTCCCAAGTAAAATGTAAACAATGTTCAACTTGGTCAGTGATCCAATTTCTGTTTTCTTGGCAGACAAGTAGCAAGTCAAGTTTATAGTCATGTGGCAATATTTTAAATTCAGAATAACAATTAAAGTGAGAACAAATGGAAACTTTCCTTATGCCCACTATAATCTCATTCCCATTCACTCTACATTGGAGCTCACTGAAAATGAGTTTTGTAGCAACCAAAATGGTCACTCCTATCAAATGTCCATATCTTCATTTATTGTTGAAAGTTTTACCTTCAGAGCATTGTTATAGAACTTAAAGAAATTCGAAGAATTGTGTATGATACAGAGTAGAGAAAGCAGAAGAATTAGAAGGAAGAAAATATGCTAAGTTCTAAAGGCAATACAGAAAGATAGTGGATTTAACTATCATTTTGAAATACTTCATTCTTAAAATAGAAACAAAAAATGGCCAATTTTATTTTGCAGAAAACCTAAGTACAGCATATTCAGGCATAGTAATAAGAACATTACAGGTAAATAATATCCATGAAAAATGAAAATTTGCCTTCATTCATAACTGTGCTTCTCATACATAATCAATTCCACAGGTGGAGGGGGTGGAGCAGTGATGGAAGAAATGATTGTTATGACTGAATTTTGCATTTAACTGGATGCCAACAATATGAAAGATATATATTTTGCTGGAGGCTCACAATTTAAATTGTACAACTAAGATATCAGCACAGGGAATAGATGAGGATGATGTCCAAGAAAAGGAGGTGAGAGAAGATGCAGAAAATAGAATAAAAGAATGAACATGTCATTGTTGACAGGTGTATACAGCATACACATTTCCTTCAGACCATTTCCCTGGACCGTACAAGGGAATAATCACTGTCTCATTCATTGAGCTGGCTTTCTCTGATGTCAATCCCTTATTTTCTCATTTTGTTTTCTGCTTCACTCAAAGCTCAGGGAGGGCATTTTCTATGTTAATTAATTATGTTTCTGTACAAAGCTGAGGAGGAGTGTTAGAATCTCATTTAGAAATTGCTTGTCATGGGTCATCAACACCTGGCAAGGTTGTGTTACCTATCCTCTAGTGTGATCCAGTCAAATCTTTGATTTAGGAAAGCAGGCCATGTTTCAATAATGAGGACAACAGGAAAACCCATAGCGCATCATGGTGGCATCAAACATTTGAAGATAACATTGAAAGGAGGATAATGCCAATGCAAAATAAACTAAGCATGTTATCTATATGAATTAATATTGTTATCTCAGAATTTTGTTTTCTTTTTAGTTTCATTGATATATTTTTTTACCAAAATAAGCATTTCTAGATTTTCATTTTTCCCTCATTTTTCCCTGACCATCCAGGCTTCTTATATCTTAAAGATTTAAAAAGAGAAATCATAGCAACACAATTATCCAGCATATTACTCATGTCTGAAAGCATTATACAATATTCCATACCCATAGGTCCCCAATTCTCCAGTAAAAAGAGAGAGGTGCATTTTTTCTTCTATAGAACCAAGCTTAATCACTTTAATTATGCAGTGTTCAGCTTTATTTTATTGTTCTTTTTATTTGCAATATTGCAGTCATTCTAAATATTGTTTTTATTTCATTTATTTTCTTTCTTCTTTATTCAGAAGAAAGAACAAATTCCGTCCTCACCATCACAAATCATGAAGTTGTGTTCCCTATATTTGGGAAAATTTCAGGGGTCAACACATTGAGTGCAATAGATAATCCTTGCCCTGGGAAAATGACCTTCATGATCATTATATCTCCCCTGCCGAGAAAGTATTAAACATTTATTTCCTAGTTCAGCTTACTTTACTCATCCTCACTTCATGAAAGTCTCCCCAACACTTCTCTATTATTTGTAGTTCAGTAGAGTAACATTCTATTATCATTCATATGCTACAATGTGTTTAACCATTTCACTGTCAAGCACATATCTTATTTACTGTTCATTGTAATCACAGAAATGGGTATGTATGGGACATTTCTTTCAATCTTGAACTTCTTGGCTATGTGTCCAGTGTTGAAATCTCTGGGTATGAACATTTTAGTCACTTTCTCAACAAAATTCCAAGTTGCTTTCCATAGTGGCTAGACCAATTCACAACTCCACCAAGTGTGCCTGTCTTTTCTATGCCCCTCAGATACTGACGTTCTCATTTATGTCATCTCGTAAAATTTCTGGGTCAGTATTTTTAATTTGCATATTTCTCTTATTATTGATCTACTAAGCCTTTCATTTAATTGTTAACCAGTTCCAATTTCTCTTTTGAGAATTGTTTATTCATATCCTTTAACCACTTATTTTTGGAGGAATTATAAAATGGAAAATGACTTCTTGGTTCTGTATATTTATGTTAATTCCTTACACATACTGTATATTACACTTTTATCTAATATATTTCTAAGTCATTTTCCTTCTTATCCTATGTGCACTGATTTTGTTCAAGCAAAAGCTTTTCAATTTCATGTACTGGAAATTGTCTGTTTTATATAGTGTGTTATCCTTTATTCCATGTGAGATTAAAATTTCCTCCCCAAGTTTTGTCTGTGAAAGATACTACTTTCCTTTTCCTCCATTTTAAAATGAGGGGACCTATTTTATTCCTTCACATTACATTATTACTATGAAGATCTTACAATTTTCCTCTTCATTTATTTAATCTACTTTTTTCCATTGATTGACTCTTCTGCTCAGGAGCATACTGGTAAAGGTTTAACAATCAACACTTTGGGGAAACAGAAGTATGCGTGATATATGTTTGAGTTTATCTGCATTATTAGCATTTTATCCATCACTTTCTTAACTCTAGACAATCAATAAAGCAATAAATTAAGGGCTTATTTGAAGCATTTGCCATTCTTTAGTTGTAAATGCTCACACTAAAAATTTAACTATTGGCTTTCAAGAGTTTGGACAAAATGACTCCAGCACACCCCTACTTCCATTCCACTTCAGCCCCATATCTGATCTTGACATTACCCATAAATGTTCTAATTCCATGATCAACATGACTGAAATTGATTTATTTAATCATAACTTCCTAAAGATCCACCTTGCTATATAACTCATTTTTCTTAAACTTATACTACATCATCACAATGAAGTCTAATCTGCTTACCTTCCACTATTTTCTTAGGTCATAACCCCTGTTTTTGCTTCACTTTTTTATCTTCCAAATTCCAAGCATTTAGTTAACAAGTTCAGCCTTATACTCTCCTCTACTATTGAATAATCCCTTGATCGCTTGTTCTATTGATGTTCATGCCTTGCCAAACCGCAGTCCAAATTATGGCTGCAATCAGCTTCCTCTGAACCTACTTATATGCTACTATTCTAAAAAGAGCTAGATGAAGTCATATGCAAACCTGCTGACTGAATCTATTACCAATTGAGGAGTGAGAGCATTCTATGCATGAAAGAGAGCCAGGGGAAATTCCCAGGGTCAGAAGATGGAGTGTCATGTTCAAGAAACAGCAAGGAGGCCAGTGTCTGTTTTGAAGAGTACATTATGGGGTGGGAGTGTAAGGTATAAGAGACTGGAAAGGTGGGGGGGGGAGTTAAAGGGATTTGAATGCCAACCAGAGGATCTTATATTTGATCTTGAAGGTAATACAATATGCCACTGTAGTTTATTAAGGAAAAGACCTTTGTTTCAGGAAAATAACTTCGTTCATTGAATGGAAGATTAACTAGAGTGGCGAGAGACTTGTGACAAGAGATGGACTAGCAGGCTATAGCAATAGTCCACATATGAGGATGTTTATGCATAAGCATTTTTAGGATAGTTTGGCATAAATTAATTATAGTTTATCAAAGATAGGTGGTTTTGCATCTAGTAATACAGTCATGTCATATAGGTTGTTTTTGTTTTCATTATAATTATGTGAATTGTTTTTCTAATGTTAAACCCATCTTTGTATGCTTGGTATAATTTTAAGTTGGTCATAAAGAATTTTAAGGGTTGTATTTCCATTGTTTTTTTTTCCTAAGATTTTATTTAACATTCTTGTTGCAATTTTAGAGAATTTGGTCTATAGTTATCTTTATTTTATTCCTGCTTTGTTTAGGTGTTAGGACTCCATTTGCCTCTTAAAAGAAGCTTAGGAGAGTAGTTTCTTTCTCAATGTTTGAGAATAATTTTTGTAGTACAGGTATTAATTGCTCTTTTAATATTTGATAGAATTCACCTATGAATCTATTTCTTCCCTTTTGTGGATCCTTTATCTTTATTTCATATTTTGTCAGTTGAGGTATTTTAGGCATTTTCTTTAGATTCTCAGTTTTACTAGAATATAAGCATAATCTGGTCTGATAAATGTTTTTATATTGCCTTTATTGAGATTTCATCTTGTTCAGTTTTTTTAATCGGTGATTTAATTTTCCTCTATTTTAAAAACCAAGTTTGCTAAAGATTTATCACTCCTCTTACTCTTCTTCAAGAACCTAGTTTTAGTTTTTTTCCCCCATTTTGTCTATTTCTCCTATAAGATTCATCATTTTCTCTTTTGTTCTGAATTTGTATTTGTTAATTTGTATTTTATTTTTTCCATTTATTTTGGTCTTTTCCGCAGTTTTTATATTATAAATTATTGATAACCTATAAAGTGGATCATTCAGATTTGCACTACTATTTTACTAAAGGTGAAATCAAATTTATCTTGAAAAAAAACACATCTTTTTGTGTTTTTTTTTCTTTATAGTTGACACAGGCATAAATACCTAAGATTCTTATAGAGAGGAATTACTCATGATCTGAAAATTCATATAGATGAAGCCTTTGGAAAGTAAGCTGAGTTGGACATGGTATCTTTTTCTGTGTTCTATAAAGTATGGGTCAAAGAGGCAGGCACCTTTTGGTCACCTAATAAATGCCTTCTGAATTGACAGCACAAAGGCAAGGATAGAAATATATTGGGATTAGGGAGGTAATTAAAGACAGTTGTGCAGAATCAGGATTTGAACTCAAAGTTTCTCTCACAAAGAAGGCCAGCTGGGCCATTAAAACATTATTATACCTAACCATAAATTAAAACCTGGACATAAAAAAATAAATAGAAAATACATTTCTTACACTCAATGAGGTTAAAAATTCTGGAAAAAAGAGAGAAGAGTAAAGGAGTTCAAGGAACATAAACAAATGAAAAAGAATTAAGAATAGTTGTAAAATAGCATACAAATAAAAAGTAGCATAATATAAATAGAAGTCATAAGAGCTAGAAGGAACAGAGTAATGGAGTTCTCAAATCAAAGGGATCTGTTTAATGAATGTTTTCTGGAGAAAATGAGTTTTGAGCAAGACAAACAAGGAAAAGGTCCTGAATAGACAGAGACCAGTGGGAAGAGAAGCAGTGGCTACTAAACTCTGCATCCCATGACTCCCCTTGATCACTTCTGTACCTATATCTACAGCTTCCAACAAAAAGGCAGGAATGTAGGGATTGGGAGAGGAATATGGCCAGATTTCTATCAGGTTGAAAAGATTTGTTGCCTATTTAAGAAATTGTTGTTTTTTTTTTTTTATTTGCTCTCTTTAAGTTACAAGTCCTCTAAGACTGAAGTTAAAATATGTCCATATTAGAAAGATAAATGAAGAATTAACATGAGGCAGTAAGGAAGGCAACCCATTGCAAGGATGAGAATGAATCTATCTAAAATGAATCAATTTCCTTTCCTCTGAACAAGATGCTCAAATCTCTATAGGCTTGGTTCAGTAGAAATATTGTGGATTTAGAATCAGAAGAGCTGAATTCATGTTCTGACTGCCATTGAGTAATTATTTGACCTTGAAAGAGTCACCTCTCTGGGCTTAAGTTACTTCATCTGTAAAATGAAAAGGTTGAATTATGTGATCTTGACGATACCTTTCAACTCTGTATCTGTGATTCTAGTTTAAGAAATGCAACACTAGAACCAAAAACTTCTAGGATATCTTTCTTGGTTGGTCTCGTTTGCCCTTGTGTAAAGGGTGATGTTCACCAATCCATTTGTTGCAATAGATACTGATCAATAACATTATGGTTGTGCTCATTCCATCACAGCTAATGAACCAATTCATTCAACAAAAAGCTGTATTTCTCTCACCTTAGGCCTCATGTCCACCTATAGGGTGTGATTAGGTCTAATAGAAATCCATTGATTTATATTGAGCATTTCTTTGCTTTCATGCAGAATTCTATAAACCACTCACTCTCAATTTTGCAAAGAAAATGGCATATTATTTCAGCTTACTCCAAACATGAAGGAAAGGTGTTTATAAACAACTTATCTAGCAAATAATTTTCAACTCAAATTTGGGATTAAAACAAACAAAGCCCCAGCAAAAAACAAGTATAATCAGTTTCACTGATTTGCTCTTTTCAGACCCAGCAACTCAGCAACATCCCCTGTACTATTTTATTTATCTTTCAGGTTACGCTTCAAGGGAAGAAATTAAGATTTCTGCTTAGAATCATTTAATTATCAAACTAGAAAGAACTTTAGAAGTCCAATCCTTCATCTAACAAATGAGTTGACTGAGGCCTATGCAGATCATGACCATTGGTCCCCATAACAATTTCCCTGGATCTCACTTTCCTCACACATTTTCCATATCTTCCTATATCACGAAGTATATTGTTTTGACTACAGTGGGCCATTAATAAATATGGATAACTTGATTTTATAAAGGATCATGACTAGAAGTCTTTTGCAAACTTATATAACCGTATAAACACATGCATATGTATATATGTATATGAATGTCAATATATCTCTAATAAAATGACATAATCACAGAATAA